TGAAATATCGCGATATTTTAGTGTATCGATACTTTCTTACACCCCTAGCCAAAAGGTCGGGCCGTCACCTCTCTCTGAAGCTTCCGTTTCTCCGCTTTCAGCTCGTCTTCTACTTTCTCTGCGTTGTCGGCTGCTGCTTTGTAGCGCGCCGCCTGGCCTTCAAGCCTCGTGATCTGGAAACAAACATTTAACATTCAAACTTTTATCTTTTTAAACAACCGAACGTGAATCATCCAGAGCTAAACGCGACTCACGTTTTGTTCCATCGTACCCATTTCCTGCTCCGCTTTAGACAGTTTGAACTTGTATTCACTGATCTGYCTGTTAGCGTCTCCTGCAGACACAACCGGACAGTTAGCATCTGCTGCTAACACACAAAGTGATTATCCCTGARCGCTGCTGAAAAGGTTTAATAACAAAACTTAATGAGGTCAGTTTCAACAGCTGAAAGTAGGAMAACACCAGCAGACAGCAGCCGAAACAAGCTGAAGTTAGCAGCTAACGTTAGCCTGTAAGAAAACTTARTATTGACAGAAAAACAAGAAACACGAACTAGTTTCAGTTTGTTGTAAAATAGCTAAACCAGCCAAAATTAGCATAAAAACAGCTACAAAAGTAGCTGAAATTAGCACAAACATGCAAGTTCAAGTTTATTTATATAACGCCAAGTCACAATACGTTGTCTCAGGACACTGTACATAAAAAGAACAATGTAAAGAAGAAAGCAGCAGATTGTGTTGAATCACTTCATCACAGTCTCCCATCCTGAGCAAACGGTGGAGAGGARAAACTCCCTGCTAATCAGGAAGAAACCTCCAGCAGAACCAGGCTCAGGACAGGAGACCATCTGCCTCGACCGGCTGCTTGGAGGACAGGAAAGAAAAGAGCACATCTGCTAAATTAGGCACTAAAAATCTGAAATTATCACAAAGTTCAGTTTAGATAAAAAACTAAAATTAGCTTAAAATAGCTGCAAAAAAGGTGAAATTACCAGAAATCAGATAAAGCATAAAACGTTTCAAACAGAAAAAAAATGCCTAAAAGTTGAACATAAAAGCAGAAAAAGCCAAAATTATCTTAAAAACACTACAAAGTGGTAAAACAGGCAGGAAACAGCTGAAATGAGCAGAAATCAGTTAAGAAGCAGACAGAAACAACAAAGACTAAAGTTTTAATTATCACAAGTGTTAAAAGGAAAATGCAAAAAATTAAATAAAAAAGCTAAAATTAGCTAAAAGTGTTAAAAGGAAGCTGAAATGATCACAAAAAGTAAAAAAATTCAGTAAAGATTTATAACATTTTTGAAGGATTTTAAGTATTTTGAAGACTTTAAGTACTTTGAAAAGCTAAAAAACTTAATAATTATATATTGCTGAAAAACCAAAAGCCCTAGCAGCCATGGCGTCTATGAGCCGAACGTTTTGACTGATAAATTGTTGAAAAAGAACCAAAATAGTGGAAAGAATAAAAGTACAGAAGAAAACTGGATTGTGTCATCAGTTAAATGATGAAAGTGTTTCTGCATCAGGAGCAGCAGATYTGGACTCTGATGGACTGAAAGCCAACAGGAAGTGAACTCACTCTGCAGCTCGATGAGGTGCAGGTCCGTCCCGTTCTCCAGCTTGTCGCCGTCGGCGAGCGCTCCGTCCAGCTTGGCGTGTTTCTGCCGCTCCTCGTCCAGCTGGTTCTTCAGCTTCCTGATCTGAGCCAGCAGCTCGTCCTTCTCCTCGGCCAGCTTCAGTAGCCTGACGTCTGCCGTGCACAACCACAACGTTTGTTAGCCGACGCTCTGAACCGGACCGGACCCAAACCTTAAAAGGCTCCAGGACTGACCCAGCGGACCCTCTCCCGCTGACTCCAGAACCTGCGCGGCCTCCTGGGACACCAGGGTGATCCCCGGGGACAGAGGGTTGTGGCTGACGTCTCCGTTGGGCGTTCCGTCTGGGATGATGACCAGCCCGTGTTTCTGAGAGCAAACACATCGACCAATCAGAACCAGGAGGTCTGATCAGGGTCAGGAGCCGGGTTCTATCAGGAGATCTAAGCGGTTCCTTCCTTCCAGGACTCTGTGGACCACCTACCTCTCCTACTTTGGACTTCCCCTTGATGTCGGCGAGCTCATCTCTGAGCTCGTCTCTCTCCTTCCTAATGCAATCAAAGTATTCTTTCTGCCTCTCTAAGGCCTGGCCGCCATGACAGGAAGACAAGAGAGAGAGAGACGACAGGTTGGATGGAAACTGGAACACACACACACACACGCACACACACACACACACACACACACACACACACACA